TCTGTTTCAGCCCTGTTTCCAAAGTGCTGATTCTCTGTCTGTTACTTTAGATGAAAATAAGGAGCCCCTCCCCACGCCCCTCTGAGAGAGATTTGGTTACAAAGAACTCAATGGTGCTCTAGGAGGAGATTCAGGTGATAAGGGGGGGGGGGGGTTACCTTGGTTGCTGATTGGCTAATGGTTACACAAGACAAAACATCGTTATGACATCATCAAGTGGCCAAAATCTGATCAGCTCATTTTCAGACAGGTTTTTATAGAAATGGATCAAAAAGAGAGAGAATCTTTGTTCCTGAAACTTTCAGAGTCTCTTTACACAGAGGGGACACATGTTGATGAAGAAGAGACATGAAGAAGAGGGGACACATGTTGATGAAGAAGAGACATGAAGAAGAGGGGACACATGTTGATGAAGAAGAGACATGAAGAAGAGGGGACACATGTTGATGAAGAAGAGACATGAAGAAGAGGGGACACATGTTGATGTAGAAGAGACATGAAGAAGAGGGGACACATGTTGATGAAGAAGAGACATGAAGAAGAGGGGACACATGTTGATGTAGAAGAGACATGAAGAAGAGGGGACACATGTTGATGTAGAAGAGACATGAAGAAGAGGGGACACATGTTGATGTAGAAGAGACATGAAGAAGAGGGGACACATGTTGATGTAGAAGAGACATGAAGAAGAGGGGACACATGTTGATGAAGAAGAGACATGAAGAAGAGGGGACACATGTTGATGTAGAGAAGACATGAAGAAGAGGGGACACATGTTGATGAAGAAGAGACATGAAAAAGAGAGGACACATGTTGATGTAGAAGAGACATGAAGAAGAGGGGACACATGTTGATGAAGAAGAGACATGAAGAAGAGGGGACACATGTTGATGTAGAAGAGACATGAAGAAGAGGGGACACATGTTGATGTAGAAGAGACATGAAGAAGAGGGGACACATGTTGATGAAGAAGAGACATGAAAAAGAGAGGACACATGTTGATGAAGAAGAGACATGAAGAAGAGGGGACACATGTTGATGAAGAAGAGACATGAAGAAGAGGGGACACATGTTGATGTAGAAGAGACATGAAGAAGAGGGGACACATGTTGATGTAGAAGAGACATGAAGAAGAGGGGACACATGTTGATGAAGAAGAGACATGAAGAAGAGGGGACACATGTTGATCTAGAAGAGACATGAAGAAGAGGGGACACATGTTGATGTAGAAGAGACATGAAGAAGAGGGGACACATGTTGATGTAGAAGAGACATGAGAAAGTGGATTTTGCATAATAGGTGCCCTTTAAATATGAACAATAGAGCAGCTGCCGACACACAGAGTTTATAAGAGCACATGATCCATAACACAAAGTAAAGGCAGCGTCTGACTCTGACCTGCTGCTCCTGCTGCTGCTCTAATAGGAGGAAATGGCTTGTGGTTCATCCAGCCCCGCTGTGGGAGTTTAATTCAATCAAAGCTCCGGTCAGAAATGAATTAAAACTCTCATTAAGCCCTCCTCCCGTGTTCCAGAGACTAAGCTGGCTGCTGCTGGAGGTTTGGGTGTTACAGCTCTGTGAGTGAGTCAGGCTTCACTCACTCACATCATTTTGTTATTTTAATTTTCTGTGCTCACCCACACAGCGAGCCTGATGAACCAAACAACAGTGTGCACGTCTCGTTGTTTAATCCCAAACCACTCACAGTTTGAGGAAAGTGAGACAGCAGAGCTTGTGCTTCATATCTCACCGAGCACAGCGAGGATAATACACTATCACAGGATCATTGATCATGACTAACAGACATTTTACTTATTAAACCAGGAGGAGGCCAGTTATTTAACTTTCTACCTCAATCGACCTTCATCTTTTAGCTAGAGTGAAAATTGAAAGATGACTTCCACGTTATTTGATATATTTTGTGGCTGTTTTCCCTTTGAAAGCCCATTGAACTCAGATGATCCATATAGATAGATTAACCCCTGATGGTTCACCTGAATGAAAGACCTTCTCACAATCTGAAACATGTTATTAAGGGGGAATTGTTGCTCCATTTTATTATGTTAAATAAATAAATATGTAATAATATGTATTCTGTTACAATTGCTCCATATACGAGTAAAATACAATTAATCCAAATAAATATATACATAAACCTGGAGAAGTTAGATATAAAAAATACAACTATACATATTTAATAATATTAATATCTTGAAAATAAATATAGAGAGGTTAGAGAAAGAAATGAGGAGATTGTACAAACAATTTATAAAAAACAATTGATATGTTACATATGTATATTACAATACATGCAATAGTGTAATAATATTTCAAATAAATGCTAATAAATGAGTTTGGTAGTAAATGGGATTGATTATTAGGCTGAACATGTAAAAGAAGTGAGATATAAATATTGTTGGAAATATAGAGAGGTGGGAGAAGTACTCAGATCTTATACTTGAGTAAAAGTAAAAGTACTCAGATCTTGTACTTGAGTAAAAGTAGAAGTACTCAGGTCTTGTACTTGAGTAAAAGTAGAAGTACTCAGATCTTATACTTGAGTAAAAGTAGAAGTACTCAGATCTTGTACTTGAGTAAAAGTAGAAGTACTCAGATCTTATACTTGAGTAAAAGTAGAAGTACTCAGATCTTGTACTTGAGTAAAAGTAAAAGTACTCAGATCTTGTACTTGAGTAAAAGTAGAAGTACTCAGGTCTTGTACTTGAGTAAAAGTAGAAGTACTCAGATCTTATACTTTAGTAAAAGTAGAAGTACTCAGATCTTATACTTGAGTAAAAGTAGAAGTACTCAGATCTTGTACTTGAGTAAAAGTAAAAGTACTCAGATCTTGTACTTGAGTAAAAGTACTCAGATCTTGTACTTGAGTAAAAGTAGAAGTACTCAGATTGTGTAGTTGAGTAAAAGTAGTAGTACTCAGATCTGGTAGTTGAGTAAAAGTAGAAGTACTCAGATCTTGTTCTTGAGTAAAAGTAGAAGTACTCAGATGTTGTACTTGAGTAAAAGCAGAAGTACTCAGGTCTTGTACTTGAGTAAAAGTAGAAGTACTCAGATCTGGTAGTTGAGTACAAGTAGAAGTACTGAGATCTTGTACTTGAGTAAAAGTAGAAGTACTCAGGTCTGGTAGTTGAGTAAAAGTAGAAGTACCAGAGTGTAGGAATACTCTGTTCCAGTAAAAGTCCTTCATTCAAAATGTTCCTCAAGTGAAAGTATAAAAGTATTCTCATCAAAATATAGTTAAAGTACAGTAAAAGTAGTCGTTGTGCAGATTGGTCCATTTCAGAATAATATATATGATATGTTTTATAATGATTGATCATGAAAGTGTTCTCAAAGCTGGTAAAGGTGCAGCTACTTTGAATGACTTTGTATGCATGAGTAATACTTGAGTAAATGTACTTAGTTACTTTACACCTCTGGAAATATACAGATCCACATCCCAGGAACACTGACCTTTTCCCCAGGACCACTGACTGTAACTAACCACTTTATTAACGGAGCACAGAGAGTGCGGTTTTGTGTCCGGAGAAAGAGGAAGCTGTGTGTTGTAACCATACACTGTTTATATAAAGGTTGTAACCCAGCAGGAAAACATCCCCAGTGTTTCTGCTCTGAGATCCTCTCCTCTGATGCTTTGTTACGTCTGTGTGACACTGATGCTTATTCTTATTATATCACAGTATTATTCTCATGGCTTCAATGAAGTACAAGATAAAGTGTGCCAAGCTTGTGGCGTTTTGATTTGCTGCCATTATAATATAATATAAGATATGAATAATGCAAGGAGCTTTAACTGTAATGCTGATAAATACTTTGTATAATATGTGGAGATAAACAGCTGGCTGAAGGACTTTCTACATGAGGGATATAAAGAAATAAATGCATCTTGAAATGTGAAACATGAGCTCCCCCTGCTGCCTGAAAAACGTCTGAGTACTTTGTCCACCTCCAGTAGAAATGTACTCTTTATATATATTTAAGTACTGCAGTGTAGTACAGTTTGAGCAGTGGTGGAAAAAGTACTCACTAGTAATACCACAGGGTAGACATATTGTAACAAAGGTGGGAAGTAACTAAGTATATTTACTCAAGTACTGTGTTTGAGTACATAACAAGGGTTGGTAACACTTTGGTACACATATTCACCATCAACTAGTTGTTGATTAACATGCATATTAGCAGTATATTGGCTCTTTATTAGTCATTATAAAACACTTATTAATGCCTTATTCTACATGACCATATTTGACAAGCACTAGGCCATTAGTTAAGAGTTTTTCCTCAATAACCCTATAATGAGTGCTTATTTATTGTAAGTAAAGAAGTTGCTTCTTCCACCTCTGGTAAAAAGGATGTAATATTGCTGAGTGATGCATTGGCTCCAGGAGGTGGCAGCAGCGCAGTGAAACCCCACAGAAGAAGAAGAGGAAGAAGATGTTGGTGTGTAATGAACTCATGAATGATGTTCTGCTGCAGACACGTGTAGAATCAGCTGCAGGATACATGGCTCTTTTAGGGAGCATTTAAAAAGCGTTTCTATTTGGATCGATATTTTGTTTTTGTAAAAGGTTTTGTGAGCTTTTTTTCTCGTCGATATTTTGTTTTGAAAAGAAGAATATTTTGGTAAGTTGATGTTTGATGCTGTGAAACACTTACATTACAAGCTGAACACAGCACAATAAGCATGGTTGCCGGTACACATTTTCAAAATAAAATAGCACTGTTATATAACGACCGATTTAACTTTAACAACAGTCTCGTAACGCAACACTGTTATACGAAACGCCATTATATATGTTTATTTCAACTATTTTGCAGTGTGGTTGCTCTTATCTTTGTATTAAAGTAAATACAAATCTACACCGCTTTTATTTTGAAGGCGATGCTGGATATTCTAGTTGGGCTTGATGTGGGTTTTTCGAAATGCAGACGATTTTTTATATTTGAACCCAATTATTGAAGTCAGTTACTGTTGACCGTGTCCGTTTTCTACCCACCGACACTTCAATAGCATTTATTTTGGGTGTCTTATTGTAATTATCGTATTATCCCTAACCGTTAGCTCGAAGCTAATCGCGCTGGCGGTAATACTGTGGTACTGTGGCTGGATTTATTCACGCGAGTATCCTGTGCGGGCGGTTCCCTCTATAACACAACGGAATGAGGAAGTCCCCACCCGCTCGGCCCACACTGTGTGTTAAATCAAACGCTCCTTATGTACCATGCGTGAGGATCTGTTTTGTGAAGGATGAAAAAACTTCTATCTTTTAACTTCATTAGATTATTATCAAACGGTGGTTTTAGGAGGTAAATGTGCATTGTTTATATGATGATCTAATTGATATATTCTGGTAGAAAGAGCCACGTTGTAGAACAAGGACATCGAGGTTTAGCCATTGTTATGGTTAGCTAGCTTGCCCTTCATAGACATGCTTTCTAACTTGGCCTCATGTGAGCTACAACACTCATTACTTTGTCAGATATCTTCATATAAATGCAAGTATAACGTTTAACCTTTGTGTCAAAAGTTATTTTTCTATATTTATATTTTCTACATTTAAAATACCTTGTACAGTAATGTTTTATCTAGTACAAAAGCCTTACAAATGATAATACTACTGATGAAGCAGATACTATAAACTCCAATACTAGTAGATATCATCCTTGAATCTTCGTAAAATATAGTTTTTAATCTATTGTTTAATGTTTTTCTTTGTCTTATAATAATTTGTTTCCCATGCAATTCAAAATGCTTTACTTTTTTGCTTTTAAATGACCCCTTAAGCCTTTTTTAAATGTCTTGTTTATTATTTTTCTAGTACAATAGCCTTATTGTCAGCGACATTTTGTTGCTTTAATCAGCTGTTAAGATCAACCACCATGCATAACCACCTGTTTCATAGAACATACTAAAAACTACTAATTAACCTTAAAAGCTTAGTAAAATATAGTTTTTTATAAATTGTTTTAATGATTTGTATATACGCTGAGTATAGTTGAAATGTCTTTCTTTCTGTTAAAATCCAGTATTGATAATGGCTATTTTTCCTTTCATTGGATCCTTTCCCACAGGTTTTCTCCGACCTGCAGACACCAGAGTGGCACGATGAAGTACATCCTGGTTACTGGAGGAGTGATCTCAGGCATCGGTAAAGGCATCATAGCGAGCAGCGTGGGGACGATCCTGAAGTCGTGCGGTCTGCATGTAACCGCCATCAAGATCGACCCGTACATCAACATAGACGCCGGCACGTTTTCCCCCTATGAGCACGGTACGTCCCAGAAGATGATGATACAGCACATGTGTGATTAAACCTCAGCATGTTGTAAGCATGTTGTAAACATGTTGTTGTGCAGGGGAGGTGTTCGTGCTGGACGACGGCGGAGAGGTGGATCTGGATCTGGGGAACTGGGGACTACGAAGCGCTTCCTGGACATCCGGCTGACCAAAGACAACAACCTGACCCACCGGGAAGATAAGTCTACCAGTCCGGTCATACAACAAGGAGAGGAGGGGGGACTACCCTGGGGCAAGAGCTGTGCAGGGTAACGTGTGGTTGGTGTGTGTGGTGTGGTGGTGTGTGGTGTGTGTTGTGTGTGTGTGGTGTGGTGTGTGTGTGTGTGTTGTGTGTGTGGTGTGTGTGTGTTGTGGTAGTGTGTGGATGTGTGTTGTGTGTGGTGGTGTGGGTTGCTGTGTGTGTGTGTGTGTTGTGTGTGTGTGTGTGTGTGTGTGTGTGTGTGTGGTGTGTGGTTTGGATGTGGTGTGTGGTGGTGTGTGTGCTGGTGTGGCTGTGTGTGTGTGTGTGTGTGTGTGTGTGTGTGTGTGTGTGTGTGTGGGTTGTAGTGTGGTGTGTGTGTTGTGTGTGATGTTAGGGTGTGGTGTGTGGGTGTGTGTGTGTGTGTGATGTGTGTTGTGTGTGTGTGTGTGTGGTTTTGTGTGTGTGCGATGTGTGTGTTGTGTGTGTGATGTGGTGTGGTGTGGTGTTTGTGTGTGGTGTGTGTGTGTTGTGTTGGTTGCACTTGTGTGTGTGTGGGGTGTGTGTGTGTGTGTGTGTGTGTGTGTGTGTGTGTGTTATATAACAGGAAATGGTTAGATGATAATATTTAGGTAGAGATTTCAACACGTTTCCTGCCGTTCCTTGCTTTTAATTTCATTCATGTTTATATTTTTAGGTTTTGCAAATGAATCAGTCCATTCCCGCCGTTGCACAAAATGTTGCCTCTCTAGTGACGCATCACAAAGGAGATACCGGAGCGCATTAAAGGCCTAAAACTTTCCCTGTCTACATGTGAACACTGAAAATAGAGCTCTGATAATCCTCCCTTCACCAAAGCTTTGTTTTCAGGATCACTGTTTGTGTGTCGACAAAAGTTAAACTACATTATTCATTTGCAGCGAGCACTGCCGTTTATTCTCTGTCGTCACAATAAGGTGTTGTGATTACTGTGATGTGGACTAAGCTTCGGAAAGGGTTTCTTGATGCAGAGAAATATTGAACATAAATAATAATATGCTTCTCTTCCAGTGGTGCCACACATCACAGATGCCATCCAGGAGTGGGTTGTGAAACAGGCCAAAGTTCCCGTGGAAGATGACGGCGTAGAACCTGAAGTCTGTGTAATAGAGGTATCAATGCTCCATAACGTGGACCACTACATGTTATTTATTAAGCTTATTTAAGGCCTTTGCTAATGATGTGTTTCTTATGTTATCGTGCGTCTGCTTGCAGCTGGGCGGCACGGTGGGAGACATCGAGAGCATGCCGTTCATCGAGGCCTTCAGGCAGTTCCAGTTCAAAGTGAAGAGAGATAACTTCTGCAACATCCACGTCAGCCTCATTCCTCAGGTGAGAGAGATGCTGTTTTACAGGTTTATATGTGAAGTATGCACCTTCACAATGACCGCTTCACGTACGAACAATCATTCAGCTTGGAGCACAGAGTGAGTCGGATCATGTTCACGAAACAAACCAGATCAACTTGAATCAACAGTTCATTATGATGATATCACATGTGAACATTCATGAAGTCACTACGAGGAGGTAGACATGAGTACATATTAAAGTGAACTCGCGATATCTACCCAAAGTGTTTTCTAGTAAATTATCAAAGGGCCTGTTTTGTCCACATGTGTCATGTTGCTGTTGAACAAACATGCAGACTAATAATAACAATAATAATGATGATGTGTGTTGTTGTTGTGTTCAGCCCAGTACGACCGGAGAGCAGAAAACCAAACCCACACAGAACACGGTCAGAGAGCTCAGAGGACTCGGACTGTCCCCCGATCTGGTGAGGCTCGCAAAGTGTGTGGGTGGTGGTGGGTGTGTGTGTGTGTGTGTGTGTGTGTGTGTGTTGTGTGTGTGTGTGTGTGTTGTGTGTGTGGGTGTGTGTTGTGTTGTGTGTTGTGTGTGTGTTTGTATGTGTGTGTGTGTGTGTGTATGTGTGTGTGTGTGTGTGTGTGTGTGTGTGTGTGTGTGTGTGATGTGTGTGTAGTGTGTGTGTTGTGTAGTGTGTGTGTGTGTTGTGTGTTGATTGATGTGTGTGTGTGTGTGGTTGTGTGTGTGTGTGTGTGTGTGTGTGTGTGTGGCGATGAACAAGAGATCTGAAATTCTCCTGCCATATCATGTGGAAAATCTGCTTAAGCAAACATTCCTATTTAGCTTTCTATAAACATATGACTGTAGCAGAGAGGCAAACTAAATGAACATTGTTTCCAGTCATTCAGTTTATTCAAGAAGCAGTTCTAGTAGATGTACCTGATCTTTCTGAACTTGTGTAACCTGTAAAGATGAGAGTGTAAACGCTGTGCCCAGTGAACACTGAGATACAAATGATTATTGCATTTCTCTAATGTGATGCACATGTGTTCAGTTTGCATCCTGCTTTACCTCCTGTCAGTGTTTCTGTGTTTTCCTGATGTGTCCTCTCTCTCTGCAGATCATGTGCCGCTGCGCCACGGCTCTGGAGAACTCTGTGAAAGAGAAGATCTCCATGTTCTGTCACGTAGAACCTGAACAGGTACGTCTCTCCCTGCAGAACCTTTAAAGGTCACCTGTTATGCAAAATCCACTTCTTCATGTCTCTTCTACATCAACATGTGTCCTCTCTTCTTCATGTCTCTTCTACATCAACATGTGTCCCCTCTTCTTCATGTCTCTTCTACATCAACATGTGTCCCCTCTTCTTCATGTCTCTTCTACATCAACATGTGTCCCCTCTTCTTCATGTCTCTTCTACATCAACATGTGTCCCCTCTTCTTCATGTCTCTTCTACATCAACATGTGTCCCCTCTTCTTCATGTCTCTTCTTCATCAACATGTGTCCCCTCTTCTTCATGTCTCTTCTACATCAACATGTGTCCCCTCTTCTTCATGTCTCTTCTACATCAACATGTGTCCCCTCTTCTTCATGTCTCTTCTTCATCAACATGTGTCCCCTCTTCTTCATGTCTCTTCTACATCAACATGTGTCCCCTCTTCTTCATGTCTCTTCTTCATCAACATGTGTCCCCTCTTCTTCATGTCTCTTCTTCATCAACATGTGTCCCCTCTTCTTCATGTCTCTTCTACATCAACATGTGTCCCCTCTTCTTCATGTCTCTTCTACATCAACATGTGTCCCCTCTTCTTCATGTCTCTTCTTCATCAACATGTGTCCCCTCTTCTTCATGTCTCTTCTACATCAACATGTGTCCCCTCTTCTTCATGTCTCTTCTTCATCAACATGTGTCCCCTCTCTTCATGTCTCTTCTTCATCAACATGTGTCCCCTCTTCTTCATGTCTCTTCTACATCAACATGTGTCCCCTCTTCTTCATGTCTCTTCTACATCAACATGTGTCCCCTCTTCTTCATGTCTCTTCTTCATCAACATGTGTCCCCTCTTCTTCATGTCTCTTCTTCATCAACATGTGTCCCTATTCTCATGTCTCTTCTTACATCAACATGTGTCCCTCTTCTTCATGTCTCTTCTACATCAACATGTGTCCCCTCTTCTTCATGTCTCTTCTACATCAACATGTGTCCCCTCTTCTTCATGTCTCTTCTTCATCAACATGTGTCCCCTCTTCTTCATGTCTCTTCTTCATCAACATGTGTCCCCTCTTCTTCATGTCTCTTCTTCATAACATGTGTCCCCTCTTCTTCATGTCTCTTCTTCATCAACATGTGTCCCCTCTTCTTCATGTCTCTTCTACATCAACATGTGTCCCCTCTTCTTCATGTCTCTTCTACATCAACATGTGTCCCCTCTTCTTCATGTCTCTTCTACATCAACATGTGTCCCCTCTTCTTCATGTCTCTTCTACATCAACATGTGTCCCCTCTTCTTCATGTCTCTTCTACATCAACATGTGTCCCCTCTTCTTCATGTCTCTTCTTCATCAACATATGTCCCCTCTTCTTCATGTCTCTTCTACATCAACATGTGCGCCCCTCTCCTCATGTCCTCTTCTACAATCAACATGTGTCCCCTCTTCTTCATGTCTCTTCTTCATCAACATGTGTCCCCATCTTCTTCATGTCTCTTCTACATCAACATGTGTCCCCTCTTCTTCATTTCTCTTCTACAATCAACATGTGTCCCCTCTTCTTCATGTCTCTTCTACATCATCATGTGTGGTCCCCTCTTCTTCAATGTCTCTTCTACATCATCATGTGTCCCCTCTTCTTCATGTCTCTTCTACATCAACATGTGTCCCCTCTTCTTCATGTCTTCTTCTACATCAACATGTGGCCCCTCTTCTTCATGTCTCTGTCTACATCAACATGTGTCCCCTCTTCTTCAGGTCTCTTCTACTCAACATGTGTCCCTCTTCTTCATGTCTCTTCTACATCAACATGTGTCCCCTCTTCTTCATGTCTCTTCTACATCAATCATGTGTCCCCTCTTCTTCATGTCTCTTCTACATCATCATGTGTCCCCTCTTCTTCATGTCTCTTCTACATCAACATGTGTCCCCTCTTCTTCATGTCTCTTCTACATCAACATGTGTCCCCTCTTCTTCATGTCTCTTCTACATCAACATGTGTCCCCTCTTCTTCATGTCTCTTCTACATCATCATGTGTCCCCTCTTCTTCATGTCTCTTCTACATCAACATGTGTCCCCTCTTCTTCATGTCTCTTCTACATCAACATGTGTCCCCTCTTCTCATGTCTCTTCTACACATCATCATGTGTCCCCTCTTCTTCATGTCTCTTCTACATCATCATGTGTCCCCTCTTCTTCATGTCTCTTCTACATCAACATGTGTCCCCTCTTCTTCATGTCTCTTCTACATCAACATGTGTCCCCTCTTCTTCATGTCTCTTCTACATCAACATGTGTCCCCTCTTCTTCATGTCTCTTCTACATCATCATGTGTCCCCTCTTCTTCATGTCTCTTCTACATCAACATGTGTCCCCTCTTCTTCATGTCTCTTCTACATCATCATGTGTCCCTCTCTTCATGTCTCTCTACATCATCATGTGTCCCCTCTTCTTCATGTCTCTTCTACATCAACATGTGTCCCCTCTTCTTCATGTCTCTTCTACATCAACATGTGTCCCCTCTTCTTCATGTCTCTTCTACATCAACATGTGTCCCCTCTTCTTCATGTCTCTTCTACATCACATGTGTCCCCTCTTCTTCATGTCTCTTCTACATCTCATGTGTCCCCTCTTCTTCATGTCTCTTCTACATCAACATGTGTCCCCTCTTCTTCATGTCTCTTCTACATCAACATGTGTCCCCTCTTCTTCATGTCTCTTCTACATCAACATGTGTCCCCTCTTCTTCATGTCTCTTCTACATCAACATGTGTCCCCTCTTCTTCATGTCTCTTCTACATCATCATGTGTCCCCTCTTCTTCATGTCTCTTCTACATCAACATGTGTCCCCTCTTCTTCATGTCTCTTCTACATCAACATGTGTCCCCTCTTCTTCATGTCTCTTCTACATCATCATGTGTCCCCTCTTCTTCATGTCTCTTCTACATCATCATGTGTCCCCTCTTCTTCATGTCTCTTCTACATCAACATGTGTCCCCTCTTCTTCATGTCTCTTCTACATCAACATGTGTCCCCTCTTCTTCATGTCTCTTCTACATCAACATGTGTCCCCTCTTCTTCATGTCTCTTCTACATCAACATGTGTCCCTCTTCTTCATGTCTCTTCTACATCATCATGTGTCCCTCTTCTTCATGTCTCTTCTACATCAACATGTGTCCCCTCTTCTTCATGTCTCTTCTACATCAACATGTGTCCCCTCTTCTTCATGTCTCTTCTTCATCAACATGTGTCCCCTCTTCTTCATGTCTCTTCTACATCAACATGTGTCCCCTCTTCTTCATGTCTCTTCTACATCAACATGTGTCCCCTCTTCTTCATGTCTCTTCTACATCATCATGTGTCCCCTCTTCTTCATGTCTCTACATCATCATGTGTCCCCTCTTCTTCATGTCTCTTCTACATCATCATGTGTCCCCTCTTCTTCATGTCTCTTCTACATCATCATGTGTCCCCTCTTCTTCATGTCTCTTTCTACATCCAACATGTGTCCCCTCTTCTTCATGTCTCTTCTACATCAACATGTGTCCCCTCTTCTTCATGTCTCTTGCTACATCATCATGTGTCCCTCTTCTTCATGTCTCTTCTACATCAACATGTGTCCCCTCTTCTTCATGTCTCTTCTAACATCAAACATGTGTCCCCTCTTCTTCATGTCTCTTCTACATCAACATGTGTCCCCTCTTCTTCATGTCTCTTCTACATCATCATGTGTCCCCCTCTTCTTCATGTCTCTTCTACATCATCATGTGTCCCCTCTTCTTCATGTCTCTTCTACATCAACATGTGTCCCCTCTTCTTCGTGTCTCTTCTACATCAACATGTGTCCCCTCTTCTTCATGTCTCTTCTACATCAACATGTTGTCCCTCTTCTTCATGTCTCTTCTTCATCAACATGTGTTCCCCTCTTCTTTTCATGTCTCTTCTACATCAACATGTGTCCCCTCTTCTTCATGTCTCTTCTACATCAACATGTGTCCCCTCTTCTTCATGTCTCTTCTACATCATCATGTGTCCCCTCTTCTTCATGTCTCTTCTACATCATCATGTGTCCCCTCTTCTTCATGTCTCTTCTACATCAACATGTGTCCCCTCTTCTTCATGTCTCTTCTACATCAACATGTGTCCCCTCTTCTTCATGTCTCTTCTACATCAACATGTGTCCCCTCTTCTTCATGTCTCTTCTACATCATCATGTGTCCCCTCTTCTTCATGTCTCTTCTACATCAACATGTGTCCCCTCTTCTTCATGTCTCTTCTACATCAACATGTGTCCCCTCTTCTTCATGTCTCTTCTACATCAACATGTGTCCCTCCGTTCTCATGTCTCTTCTTCATCAACATGTGTCCCCTCTTCTTCATGTCTCTTCTACATCAACATGTGTCCCCTCTTCTTCATGTCTCTTCTACATCAACATGTGTCCCCTCTTCTTCATGTCTCTTCTACATCAACATGTGTCCCCTCTTCTTCATGTCTCTTCTACATCAACATGTGTCCCCTCTTCTTCATGTCTCTTCTACATCAACATGTGTCCCCTCTTCTTCATGTCTCTTCTACATCAACATGTGTCCCCTCTTCTTCATGTCTCTTCTACATCAACATGTGTCCCCTCTTCTTCATGTCTCTTCTACATCAACATGTGTCCCCTCTTCTTCATGTCTCTTCTACATCAACATGTGTCCCCTCTTCTTCATGTCTCTTCTACATCAAACATGTGTCCCCTCTTCTTCATGTCTCTTCTACATCAACATGTGTCCCCTCTTCTTCATGTCTCTTCTACATCAACATGTGTCCCCTCTTCTTCATGTCTCTTCTACATCAACATGTGTCCCCTCTTCTTCATGTCTCTTCTACATCAACATGTGTCCCCCTCTTCTTCATGTCTCTTCTACATCAACATGTGTCCCCTCTTCTTCATGTCTCTTCTACATCAACATGTGTCCCCTCTTCTTCATGTCTCTTCTTCATCAACATGTGTCCCCTCTGTGGAAAGAGACTTTGGAAGTTTCAGCAAAAAAGATTCTCTCTCTTTTTGTCCTGATCCATTTCTATAAAAAATGAGCTGATCAGATTTTGGACACTTTATGATGTCATAACGATGTTTAAACATTAGCCAATCACCAACCAAGGTACCCCCCCCCCCCACCTTATCACCTGAATCTCCTCCTAGAGCACCATTGAGTTCTTTGTAACCAAATGTCTCTCAGAGGGGCGTGGGGAGGGGCTCCTTATTTTCATCTAAAGTAACAGACAGAGAATCAGCACTTTGGAAACAGGGCTGAAACAGAGGGGATTATGGGTAATGCTGCAATGATCTGTTTGTTGTTTCAGCCAATCAGAGACAGGCTCTGTATATATCTGAGACCTATAATATATTGATGAAGAACAGTATAATAGGGGACCTTTAATAAACCCCATCCAGCCTCTTTGTGAACGTGTGTCCTGTCCTCAGGTGATCTGTGTGCACGACGTCTCCTCCATCTACAAAGTGCCTCTGCTGTTGGAGCAGCAGGGCGTCTGTGGCTTTCTGACCCGGAGACTCAACATGCCGATGGAGACCCGGCCGCGACGCATGCTCACCAAGTGGAAAGAGATGTCCGACAGGTGAGCCATGAAAATCTAATTTCCTGAATTTTTTTTTTTTAAATGCCTGATTTAATCTCCACTGCAGTCTTTGTGCCCTTGAGTTTGACCCTTCACCCCAAATGGAGATTGCCCACAGTACTGAGTGTATGTACATCGCTTTGGGTAAAAGCGTCTAACAAGTGACATGGAATGAAATATAATAAGGTTTGGCATTTTTTAAGCTGATGTACTTCTTGCAATATATATATATATATATATATATATATGCTGTTAATAACTGTGCAATATATATATATATATATTTAAGCAATAGCTCACGACAGGCCGTCGCTTCGCGTCGGGCCGAACCACGCCCCTTAACTGTGATATAATGGCCATATACCACGGCCTGAAGTGAGCTATTGCTTTTATAAAACGGTTACCAAGTGTGGCAATATGAATGAAAAATACACACTCTAATTTAAATAGTTGTTATTATTAAATAATGATGTTCAAAATAAAATAGTCCCTCCGTTGCCTTCTGCACGAAACATAGTGCGAGCTGGTTGCTATGCAACAACACTAACAACAGCTAGCGAACATATTAGACAGAGAGCGTTGATCCATTATTTGGCTATTTATTTACATTAATGTGTATGTTGTTGTTTATTGTGCAGCCTCTGAAAAACTGTCCAGCATCAGTAGCATGGCTTACGTGGTTACTTGTATAGGTTGAGGTTGTTCTAGGCTGTTCTTTGGCGTGGAGAGAATATTGCTCCACTTTCTCCGGTCCCAGAGATTGGGCTTCCAGTAGCTCTGGAGAGAGCTTTCTCACCTGTGGCCACTAACGCTCATCATTTCTCTGCTTTGTTTCAAGACCCGCATCAGAAAGCTTTTGAATGGTGATACCTTTCCAGTTGGTCTACCTGCTCTTCACGTAGCTCTGCATGTCGTCGTTTAGGTGCTTTCTGGAGATAGGCACTGCTCAATCCACTCCTCCATAGTGAGACCCCCCCCCCCTCAATCCCCTCCTCCATAGTGAGACCCCCCCCCTCAATCCACTCCTCCAGTAAGACCCCCCCCCCCCCCGGAGGTCCAAGTTAATCTTAAATGTTTTGAGGACCTTTTTGATTACAGATTTGAAAACATCGTTGCTTGCTTTAAAAGTAGCACACTTCAAGATGTCAAATCTTGGAAAGTATCTAAATATCCCTGCCCTAATGCCAAAGGAACTGCACACTGAATATGTTTTTGCCGTTTGATGTCTATGTCTGGACCGTTGCGTAAAAAGGAGGGTTTCTGCCTTGTTACTTCTCCGCTGCTTTCTTGTTCCAGTTTGAAAAGCAAACTGCAGGCAGTTTGCTTTTCAGCCCAACTGTATACTGTTTATCTCAGACGCAGAGGGATACTGAGTTGTTGTGAAAAGTAACTTACAATTCTACCCGTGGTATACGCTCAGTATACCACGGCTAAGAACCAGTCAGATTGCTTGATTTGACTTGTCCGTTTTTTAAATATATATATATACCTGGCTGCTACATCTTTAGATCTGTTACAGGAATTGTATTTTGTAAACTGTGTATTTTAATTTTTAATTTCTTTATCTTTAATATATATTTTTATGCATGCTTCTTCTTGATAATAATAACTTAGATTTATATATCGGCTTTCAGGGAACCAAGGTCGCTTTCAGGGAACCAAGGTCTCTTTCAGGGAACCAAGGTCTCTTTCAGGGAACCAAGGTCGCTTTCAGGGAACCAAGGTCGCTTTCAGGGAACCAAGGTCGCTTTCAGGGAACCAAGGTCTCTTTCAGGGAACCAAGGTCGCTTTCAGGGAACCAAGGTCGCTTTCAGGGAACCAAGGTCTCTTTCAGGGAACCAAGGTCGCTTTACTGAAAAACAGGAGTCAAACAAACAAACACATTCAGACAGACAGTCAGACAGACAGACAGACAAACAGACAGTCAGACAAACAGTCAGACAGTCAGACAGACAGACAGTCAGACAGTCAGTCAAACAAACAAACACATTCAGACAGACAGTCAGACAGACAGACAGACAGTCAGACAGTCAGACAGACAGACAGACAGTCAGACAAACAGACAGACAAACAGACAGTCAGACAGACAGTCAGACAGTCAGACAGACAGACAAACAGACAGACAGACAGACAGTCAGACAAACAGACAGTCAGACAGACAGTCAGACAGACAGTCAGACAAACAGACAGTCAGACAGACAGTCAAACAGTCAGACAGACAGACAGTCAGACAGTCAGACAGACAGTCAGACAGACAGTCAGACAGTCAGACAGTCAGACAGACAGACAGTCAGATAGACAGTCAGACAAACAGTCAGACAGTCAGTCAGACAGTCAGACAAACAGACAGTCAGACAAACAGACAGACAGTCAGACAGACAGTCAGACAGACAGTCAGACAGACAGTCAGACAAACAGTCAGACAGACAGACAGTCAGACAGTCAGACAGTCAGACAGTCAGACAGACAGACAGTCAGACAGACAGTCAGACAAACAGTCAGACAGACAGTCAGACAGACAGTCAGACAGACAGTCAGACAAACAGACAGACAGTCAGACAGACAGTCAGACAGACAGTCAGACAGACAGACAGACAGTCAGACAAACAGACAGACAGTCAGACAGACAGTCAGACAGTCAGACAAACAGACAGTCAGACAGACAGTCAGTCAGAACAGACAGACAAACAGACAGTCAGACAAACAGTCAGACAAACAGTCAGACAAACAGAACAGTCAGACAAACAGACAGACAGACAAACAGTCAGACAAACAGTCAGACAAACAGTCAGACAAACAGAACAGTCAGACAAACAGACAGTCAGACAAACAGAACAGTCAGACAAACAGAATAGTCAGACAGACAGACAAACAGTCAGTCAGACAGACAGTCAGACAGACAGACAGTCAGAACAGACAGACAAACAGACAGTCAGACAAACAGAACAGTCAGACAAACAGAACAGTCAGACAAACAGACAGTCAGACAAACAGTCAGACAAACAGAACAGTCAGACAAACAGACAAACAGTCAGACAAACAGAACAGTCAGACAACAGAACAGTCAGACAAACAGAACAGTCAGACAAACAGTCAGTCAGACAGACAGACAGTCAGACAGACAGACAAACAGTCAGTCAGACAGTCAGTCAGACAGACAGTCAGACAGACAGACAGTCAGAACAGACAAACAGTCAGACAGTCAGGCAGACAGTCAGACAGTCAGGCAGACAGTCAGACAGACAGACAGACAGACAGACAGTCAGAACAGACAGACAGACAGACAGTCAGACAAACAGTCAAACAAACAGGACAGACAGCCAGACAAACAGACAGACAGACAGACAGACAGACAGTCAGACAGACAGACAGTCAGACAGACAGACAGACAGTCAGACAGTCAGACAGACAGACAGTCAGACAGTCAGACAGTCAGACAGACAGACAGACAGACAGACAGACAAACAGTCAGACAGTCAGGCAGACAGTCAGACAGTCAGGCAGACAGTCAGACAGACAGACAGACAGTCAGACAGTCAGACAGACAGACAGACAGACAGACAAACAGTCAGACAAACAGGACAGACAGCCAGACAAACAGACAGACAGTCAGTCAGACAGACAGACAGACAGTCAGACAGACATACAAACAGTCAGACAGTCAGACAGACAGACAGACAGACAGTCAGAACAGACAGTCAGAACAGTCAGACAGACAGACAGTCAGACAAACAGTCAGACAAACAGAACAGTCAGACAGACAGACAGCCAGACAAACAGACAGTCAGACAGACAGACAAACAGTCAGACAGTCAGACAGTCAGACAGACAGTCAGACCGACAGACAGACAGACAGTCAGACAAACAGACAGTCAGACAAACAGAACAGTCAGACAGACAGTCAGACAGTCAGACAAACAGTCAGACAGACAGACAGACAGACAAACAGTCAGACAAACAGACAGTCAGACAGACAGTCAGACAGACAGACAGACAGACAGACAGACAGTCAGACAGACAGTCAGACAGACAGACAGTCAGACAGACGGACAAACAGTCGGACAGACAGTCAGACAGTCAGACAGACAGACAGACAGTCAACAGACAGACAGACAGTCAGACAGACAGACAGACAGACAGACAGACAAACAGAACAGTCAGACAGACAGACAGTCAGACAGACAGACAGTCAGACAGACAGACAGTCAGACAGACACACAGCCAGACAAACAGTCAGACAGACAGTCAGACAGACAGTCAGACAGGACAGACAGTAGACAGACAGACAGACAGTCAGACCAAACAGACAGACAGTCAGACAAACAGACAGACAGTCAGACAGACAGACAGTCAGACAGACAGTCAGACAGACAGACAGCCAGTCAGTCAGACAGTCAGACAGTCAGACAAACAGACAGACAGTCAGAACAGACAGACAGCCAGACAAACAGACAGTCAGACAGACAGTCAGACAGACAGTCAGACAGACAGACAGTCAGACAGACAAACAGTCAGACAGACAGACAGTCAGACAGACAGACAGTCAGACAGACAGACAGTCAGACAGACACACAGCCAGACAAACAGTCAGACAGACAGTCAGACAGACAGTCAGACAGACAGACAGTCAAGACCTCAGACAAGACAGACAGTCAGACAACAGACAGACAGTCAGACAACAGACAAGTACAGACAGGTACAGACAGACAGGACAGCCAGTCCAGTCAGGTAACAGTCAGACCAGTCAGACAAAACAGACAGACAGGCAGAACAGACAGACAGCCAGACAAACAGACAGACAGTCAGACAGACAGTCAGACAGACAGACAGTCAGACAGACAAACAGTCAGACAGACAGACAGTCAGACAGACCAGACAGACAAAACAGTCCGTCAGACAGTCAGACAGTCAGACAGACAGTAGACAGACAGCAACAGTCAGACAGACAGACAGACAGAACAAACAGTCAGACAGTCAGACAGACAGTCAGACAGACAGTCAGACAGACAGACAAAGTCAGACAGACCGGACAAACAGTCGGACAGACAGACAGACAGTCAGACAGACAGACAGTCAGACAGACAGACAGACAGTCAGACAGTCAGACAGACAGACAGACAGACAGACAGACAGACAGACAAACAGAACAGTCAGACAGACAGACAGTCAGACAGACACACAGCCAGACAAACAGTCAGACAGACAGTCAGACAGACAGACAGTCAGACAGACAGACAGACAGACAGACAGTCAGACAAACCAGACAGACAGTCAGACAAAACAGACAGGACAGTCAGACAGACAGACAGTCAGACAGACAGACAGACAGACAGTCAGACAGACAGACAGCCAGTCAGTCAGACAGTCAGACAAACAGACAGACAGTCAGAACAGACAGACAGACAGACAAACAGACAGTCAGACAGACAGTCAGACAGATAGACAGACAAACAGTCAAACAGTCAGACAGACAGTCAGACAGACAAACAGTCAGACAGACAGACAGTCAGACAGACAGACAGACAAACAGTCAGTCAGACAGTCAGACAGTCAGACAGACAGTCAGACAGACAGTCAGACAGACAGTCAGACAGACAGACAAACAGTCAGACAGACAGACAGTCAGACAGTCAGACAGACAAACAGTCAGACAGACAGACAGTCAGACAGACAGACAGACAGACAGTCAGACAGTCAGACAGACAGACAAAACAACAAATAAATTAGGGGCCGAAATGGGTCGTTAACATGAAGCTGTCTGGCTCTTTTTCTGCTGTATCAAATGTAAATGTCCCCTCTGTGGGACGAATAAATGTATTCTGTTTCTGATTCTGTTTCTGATTCTGTTTCTGATTCTGTTTCTGTTTCTGATTCTGATTCTGATTCTGTTTCTGTTTCTGATTCTGATTCTGATTCTGTTTCTGTTTCTGATTCTGATTCTGAATTTCCTTTCCATGGTTAATAATCCTTATTCTGTTGCTGCTATGACTCCTGAATGTCCCTACGGGGATCAATAAAGGTCCACCTTATCTTAATTGTACTAACCCCCCCTCTCAGGTCCGACCGGCTGCTCGAGCACTGCTCCATCGCTCTGGTTGGGAAATACACAAAGTTCTCCGACTCGTACGCCTCGGTGATCAAAGCTCTGGAGCACTCTGCGCTCGCCATCAGCCACAAACTGGAGGTCAAGGTAAACACCACTTCTCAATAAGGTCTACCTTTTATTCCCTTCATAAATCACAGCTACACACCATTTAGGTAACAACTCCAGTCTGAAGACGAACATTATAATGAAACATTCATTAAACTGTGCCTCTGTCTGATTTCTGCTTCATTAATATCAATCATGCAAAAGCCTCATTTCACTCCCACAGTGAACCAAACATCGAGGTGAAAAGGCACATTTATAATGAACACTTGTCATTTAAATGTTGCCCAATCAGTACATTTAAAGTAGACAAGATTTCTATGTATCTTAAAACAGAATGTCTTGAATTTATATTTAATCAAATAGAAATAGCTTTACCAGCAACGCCTTTTCAGATGTTGAGTAGTTAGTAGGGATGCTCCGATCGCCAAGTTTGGGGCCGATCGCTGGAATCAGTATCGGACGATAACGATCGCCGATCCGATGGAGTGGGCGGGGCCTATGGGGATCTTCTATTTAAAGTGATGTTTAAAACTCAGTTAATGCTCATTCTCTGGAGCTTCCACAAACAACAACCAACATAATTATTACATTCAAATGAAGTACGTTATTCAAGTTTACATTAACTTTGGAGAACACGGGAGAAATGAACGGAAGCGCTCTCTTTTTCCCCTCTCTCTCTCCTCTCCTCTCTCTCTCCTCTCTCTCCTCCACGTTGCTTACCGCTGTCTTTTTTGGACCACCTTGAAATACTGCCAGACCGGTGATGTGAAGCCATTTTTTTGGACGAGCTTGTTTTGCCGCGCACAGAGGAAAAGCAGAGGTGGGACCAAGTCATTGTTTTGCAAGTCCGAGTCAAGTCTCAAGTCTTGCGCTCAAGTCCAAGTCAAGTCTTCAAGTCAGGATGGGAAAGTTCAAGTCCAAGTCCAAGTCCCTAAACTTTGACAAAACGAGTCTTAAACAAGTCATTATGTGCTTTTCAACAAATGTAAATGACATCGATCAACAGAATAATACTTAATAATCAAACTGCTCTTTATTAGTCACATTAATAATTTAATAATCCATTTTCCTCTCTGCTGGTAAAGTAACGTGTTTTCTTCTATTGTAAGAGGTATCAGAAGGTAAGGCTACCGTGACGGTTTTGATTCAGAAGGAGTTTAATGGATAAGATCCCTGTATGTTGAGGTGACAGAATGTTTATTTCCACTGTGTACAGCATGTTATAAGGGACCCACAACCTATCTTTATGCAAGGGATAATGTGCAGCGAGGCGTCTCTATGGGAAGAGACCACCTGAATCTAGATCCCTCTGCAGGTGGTACTTTAACTATATTTTGATGATAATACTTTTTCTACTTTTACTTTGTAACATTTTGAATGGCAGGATCTTTTATTGTAACGAGTATTCCTACACTCTGGTACTTTTACTCAAGTACAAGATCTGAACTTCTCCCACCTCTGGCAATAAATCCTGAGTGGTTACCAAAAAAAAACCCTGCTCTGAAGGTTATTTTCATTTTACAAATCCTGGCACTCAGCTTTGCTTTCTCCAAATAATTGAAAATGCAGCCAGATCTGCTGCTTCTTTTTTCGGTTTTAGCAAATTTCTGACTTTTTCCGACGCGCTTGCATTTAAATCCGTCTCCCCGTCGCTCTGTGTAGCTGGCCTTGTACCACTACAGCTGCTGTCTTTGGAGCGTTCTGCCCCCCACCCTTCTTTCACATAATGGTATGATCCTAGTGTGTCCTCACATATGATTGGCCGCATGGTGGCTCAGCAAAATAAAGTCCCGCTCCTGCCTGCATGGATTCTCAGCAAGAGTTGCAGCGGCTGAAGATTCTGCTCTCCCCGACGGAGTCTGCTCTCCTAACGGCCAGCTCGCGATCGGCGTGTTGGAGAACTCTGAATTAAATTATCAAGTCACCTCAAGTCAGAGGGCTCAAGTCCAAGTCGAGTCGCAAGTGTTTGGTGATTTTGTCAAGTTGAGTCCAAAGTCATCAAATTGGTAACTCGAGTCTGACTCGAGTCCAAGTCATGTGACTCGAGTCCACACCTCTGGAGAAAAGTGTCATGTATTTTACGTCATGTGATCGGCTCTCGCGATCGGCATTTATAGAGAGCACCGATCGATCGGCAGAGAGTGAATATCGGCCAATATCGATCGGCGGCCGATCAATCGGAGCATCCCTAGTAGTTAGCATTAAAGACGTCTGATGAACGTAAAACAATGAAGCTCAACAGTCAAAGTCATACAAGTTAAAGCTAAACTAACAACCAATAACACGACTGTGTTTTCCTCCTCAGTACATCGACTCAGCCAATCTGGAGCTGTCCACGCTGCAGGAGGAGCCGGTGAAATACCACGAGGCCTGGCAGAAGCTCTGCAGCGCCGAGTCAGTGCATCTTCATGTCTCTTCTTCATCAACATGTGTCCCCTCTTCTTCATGTCTCTTCTTCCATCAAACATGTGTCCCTCTTCTTCATGTCTCTTCTTCATCAACATGTGTCCCCTCTCTTCATGTCTCTTCTTCATCAACATGTGTCCCCTCTTCATGTCTCTTACATCAACATGTGTCCCCTCTTCTTCATGTCTCTTTACATCAACATGTGTCCCCTCTTCTTCATGTCTCTTCTTCATCAACATGTGTCC